CTGAAAATTCAGTCCCAGTGGGATGCTTGCCTCTGTTTGCAGAGAGCGCTTTTAAGGCCTAAAATGACAAGGAACAACTGTTTGATACGGAGAACCTTCAGATGCCTTCCTTCCTTCCTTCCTTCCTTCCTCCCTCCCTCCCTCCCTCCCTCCCTTCCTTCCTTCCTCTCTCTCTCTCTCCTTCTTCCTTGCTTCTGACTGTGAACCCTTTGCCTACTTCACAGGCCGGTTCTTTGATGAGAATGAGTCCCCTGTGGATCCGCAGCACGGTTCTAAACTGGCGGATTATAATGGGGATGATGGGAACGTGGGTGAGTATGAGGCAGACAAGCAGGCTGAGCTGGCTTACAATGAGGAAGAGGATGGTGATGGTGGTGAAGAAGACGTCCAAGGTGAGCTTGGGCATCCCACTTGTGTAGCTCCCTCAGTTGAGAGCCTCATGGAGGTTGTGGCAGGGCTAGCTGCTGGGAAGGGGGGGGGTCTGGCGAATGGGCGGTTGTTGAGTTTGGCTGTACTAACCGTTTCTGGAAAGCTGTTCTGCATGTGGGATAGCTTAGACATTTGAAGCAACCTCTGCTTGAAGGTGTCATTAACTGTCCAGTGGTCTTGACGTCTTAGTGTTGAACTTGGCTTTTGCATGTGATGGCATCGGCTGTGATAAACCCATTAATCTTATAGGTATCCGGTCACTTCCTCTGTTCTTGTTGCTAAGAACTAACATGGCTGCTTTTAGAGAATTCATCGCTTTGTGGGGGAATATTTACGTGTACCAGTTTCTGGTGTGTTGGCATGTAATAAAAGCCCCCAAATATTGGTAGCTGTTTTGTTTTCCCCGACTGTCTTGAGTTTTAATACCTAGATGCCTCTGTGATATGTAGATTCGGTGGGCCTCCCCCTGTACCACAGAAACATTGCTTCCCACATCATCTGTGTGCACAAGTCCCTTCTTTCATCTTGCATGCTCCTCACTGTATCTGCTTCCTCACTGTATCTGCTTCTGGTGACTCATGCATGTGGTATTGAATTGTACCCAGACTGCATCCTCCACTGTTTGGAACAAAATAGGAAATGTCCTTTTTATTGCAGGTAGAGGCATGAAATCACTTCTAACGTCCTGCCTTCTGAACCACTTAGGGCCAAAACTAGTACCCATATTCATGTCCCTGTCCTGAAGAGCCCGTGTGCCGTTCCCATTGATTTAAAAGTACCTGGCTCATGATGGCTTCTTTGAAGATTCTTTTTGTAACTTCCATTTATTTATGAGCACACCGTTCCTAGAAATACTCTCACGAAACGGCTGTGAAGTTCATTTGCATTTGTTACTTTCAACAGCCACCTTTTTGACTGGGGTGTCCTCGGTCTTCTAGTTTCCTTAACCTCTCCTCCCCAAGCTGAATCTTAAGTGACAGAACTTTGTGTGAAACTTAAGAGGAGTACACGGTTAACAAAATCTTGGAAACCCCTTTTAAGTTGTTGGCATCTTTCGGATAAGACAGCCATTTTGGTCCCTGCCCAAGTGAACTTTGGTAGGCCTGGCATACGCCCAGGGGACAGAGCTGGCGTCATGTTCAGTTATGCACGCTCTGACTCACACAGCACTGTACGACATAATCATCTGCACAGTACATTTGTTGTAAAGCTTTATAAATGTATTCCTACCAGAACCCCTGATGGGACTCAGTCTTAATTAAAACTTTAGTGGTGCTCTTCAGAACACTGAGCATTGTGTGTGAACCGTTAGTCCTACCATTTCTTATACCTGTCGTGCATGTGGGTTGTTGTTGTTTTTTTTAATGCATGGTTACATGCATGTCTGAGAAGTGGTGTCTCTTGTCATGCTTCTGGTTAGACATACGGCTTTCTAGATGCCCGTGAACAGGTTTTTGATTGGGTGTGTCTGCAGACTCCCTAGAGCGGTACTCCTAATTCTAGTCAGTACTTTGATAGAAGTCTAGTTGGCTAGAGTTCACCGCTAGAGAAGCAGCATAGCAAAATAACTCTTCTTGTTGATTCTCATGAAGCAGAGAGAGGGGGGAAAGTTGGTTTCGTTTGTAAGTTCTTGTAAATTTAACAGTGGAACAGGTCTGAACTGTAGTTTACGTAAAGATACTGGTAAGTGAAAAGTTCTCTGGTAAGAGGTAAAGAGGCATGGTTCCAGGCAGGAAACCCGCTGAATTTTCTGCCCTCTTGAAGGCGACCTTCAGTGACAGTTGCCATTCCCAGCAAATATACATACCATACCAGGATGCTGTTTATGCACCTTTCCCGTCCTTTGAATTGATTTGGGATTATTGGGAATATGGTGGGGGGGCGGGGCTTGGGAGTACTGTGAATATCGGGGGGGTTGGGGGGGGTAATCTCTCTGGGCGTGTGCTTGACATGAGGTGTTGTGGGGGGGAGGTTCCTACAGAGTTGACTTAGTTTTGGCTTTCCTCCTTTCCACTGCAGATGATGAAGAGAGAGACTTTCAAATGGATATTGCGGACTATGGAAAGCAGCACTTCAATGATGTCCTTTAAATCCCTAAATGACTTTCGCCTGAGGAATCCTGCAACAGAAATGAATGGAATTAATTCTTCCTAGTATTTACTGTAAAAGACACTGAGAATAGTAGCATCAGGCTACCTATAAAACACAGGACATTAAGTGATGGAACGCAGTGGTCGAATTCTGTATATATGTGTATAGTTGTATTTTTTTTTTTTTGCAAATTGTATTATTAGAAATGGTTTCTTCTACAGCAAGACAATTAATACTCCAGTACAATGGAAAACCAAGTGCCCCTTAAGCTAATTGAAGTCAGTGGGCTTAGGTATGCCTAACTACATAGGGTCAGGTGGAAAGACTGTAGCTTTACTTGTACCCCTTAAGTTAACAGCTGACATTACAAAACAACTTAGGCTAACCATGTTTATGAAAATAAGCAACTTTGTAAACTGGAAAACTTGTACAGTTTGTATCTGACATATTAATGACTTCATTGCAGAAATAAGTGTACAGATGGGACACCTTTTGATACAGCCGATGTATTCATCCATACAAGCCAATCATTTCATTTCTCTTGCTGTTGTGGTTTGTATTTTACATTACATTTGAAAGTTGACTGAAAATGTGTTCTATGTGTTTCTAAAGATTCTTTCTTGAGTATATCAAGGAAGATCTATGTGACAGTGAAATTTAGTGCATTAATCCTATGTAAGATAATATAGTTAACCATAGGTGAGTGACTAAAATTATCCATAGGGAATTTGGCAATAGTATAGGTATTTTTTATAGAATATGTGCCAGGGTTTAAATTGGTTAAGGTATAGCCAGTATTTCCAGCACGCAAGAGCCCTTCGCCTCTGCTTTTAAAGCAGTGGTTTTAGTCATAAGCAAAAGACGAACCTGTCGCAGTGACTAAAAGTACAATTTTAACTTGCTATTAAACTGACTCCTGATATGTTTGACTGTCAGGCAGTGCTTTGTTGCACCTCCAATGTTGTAGAAAGAATCGCTCATCACATTGGGCATGTTCTTGTGGTTTTGTGTTTTTTGTCTTCTGAGTGTAAGGGTGTGTGTGTGTGTGTCTGCTAACGGATGGTTTAAAGCACTTTCTGAAGTTTGCAGAAATGGTTATATTCACTTGTTCTACACTCCGAGTGTCAGGTTATTAACCCTAACTAGTTATCAACAAGGGCTACTGTGAATAGAATTTATAGGTCCTATGACAGGGTTGATTGTACTTCACTATTTCTGTACTCAGGTTGAAGTTCACCTCAGTAAGGTAAGGCTCATTTGTGTTCATTTCAATGGATAATTTGCATTAAATGAAAAGGACAAATCAATTGTTTATGTACATATATATATGTGTGTGTGTGTGTGTGAGAGAGAGAGAGAGAGAGAGAGAGAGACCATTCCTGCATTTTTATTTCCATGACACAAAACTGTCTATATTTTGCACAAAAGTTTAAGGCTAAGTCTTTTTGGAGGTCTTATTTCCTTAACGCCTCTGTGTCCATTGGTCTTCAGTATTGTATTTTGTGAGTTTACTGTGATACTTCTGCCCCAAGTTAGCTGTGACTCTTAAAAGGAATCTACCAATGAAAATCAAAATTTAATAAGTTCTAATAAAATGTAATAACATTTTAGATTTCATGTACTGCTTTAAATAACCGGAGTACAAAGGTGATGTGAATAAGGTGTGCTGTTAGCCTTTTGTGAAGGCTGATACTTCAGTCACCGGGAGAGTTTTACGTAGCTCTTTGAGTGTTCCTTCTCGTCCTTGGAGCCCATTGGTATGCTCATTTTAGAGATGGAAGAATTGAAGCGAGGAAATAGTTTTTTGGGGATGATCCCTGAGCAGAATTTGAAGCCTAGATGTTCCCAGCCAAACACTCAGTGATACTGATCACTTTCCCAATGAATTCAGAAGTCCGTCCCAGTGTCCATCCCTCCTAGTACAGCTTCAGACTGAGGTTTCGGGGCTGTCTTGGTTCCAAGATTGGATCCACAAGGTCCGTGCTCTTGTCGCACCCTTTTGTTTTCCACTGGGCATAAGAGCCAGTCAGAGCCACCTTCGAAGACGTTCAGGTCTTAAAACACAAGGCTCCTCCTCTTTGTCTACTCTGTGCTTGATCAGTTGTTGCAACTCAAAAGACCCTGGGGGTTATCCTCAGCCTCTGTCAAAGTATATTTTGCTGTAACTTCACTTAGGCATCCTCCAGTAGCAGGGAAGTTGATATTTGTTCAAACTGATGCTAAGTAGCCTTTTACCGCTCCCCCCCCAGTTCCTCTCTGGATCCTTTCTTTGTTTTTAATCTAAATTAGGTGCACAGACTCCTTGAAGCTATGGCCCAGTGCCCCATTTCCCCTGCTGGTCTATGAGACGGCCTTTTTGAATGGCCATCAACAGGATGGCATGGTCCTCCACTTTCCAGAATTCCCCCAATGTCATCCTGCCTCAGTTTGGGGTCTTCCTACCTGCGGTGGTCTCTCAAGAGGACTGCATGGCCAGTCTTTTGTTCTCAGTTCTAAGTGTTCTCTGCTCACACCAGGAGGGTCGAGGCAACTTTATTTTGTTTTTAAGTCGGTTACAAGTTTTCTGTAAAGACCCCTGCTTTTTTTCTTTGTTCTTTTCTTCTTTGGCTGGCCGTAGGAAGGGATGCACCGTCTGGGCGGTCCAGGCAGTTGTGCTTTGTTATGCCTCAGTGAGCGTACCATGTCCTTTCCAGGTGACACTCCACCCCACCGAGGTCCTTGCCTCCTCAGCAGTTTCCCTACAGGACGTACCACCAGCATACGAAGTCTGCCGGGCAGCTACTTGGTTCCCCTTTTCGACTTTTGTCAAGTGCTGTTTGGCTGACGACAGTTCCAGAAAAGACGCAGCTGTGAAGAATGTGGTCCGTTTGTTCCTCCACCCGCCTCCACGGTAAGTCAGCTTGCTCCTCTACCATTCTGGGCCTGCCCAGAATCTACAGAGATGGAAACGGGGTTGTGTGTACTGTGTAACTGTTGTGTAACTGTGCGGGCATGCATTCCCTCTCTGCTTCCTTGCCTGTTATGGGTCCTCTTGGCTTTATCAGGGGATCTGTCAGTGGTAGGAAGAGCTGAGGGAAGGTGCATTCCTTCTCCTGATAGCATGTGACAGACTGGGTGGGTAAACATCAGGAAGAAGAGTGCTCTTTGCATCACAGAAAGCTCTTGACAGCATCACAGCTGGCCTGCAAAGGCGGCCACTTGATGAATAACAGAACAGAGTTTGGGTGTCCAATGGCACCTTTAACTGAGAGCCAGTTTGGTGTAGTGGTTAAGTGCGCAGACTCTAATCTGGGAGAACCGGGTTTGATTCCCCACTCCTCCACTTGCACCTGCTGATGTGACCTTGGGTCAGTCACAAGCTCTGGCACAGCTGTCCTTGAAAAAGAGCAGTTTGTGTCAGAGTTCTCTCAGCCCCACCCGCCTCACAGGGTGTCTGTTGTGGGGAGGGGAAGGGAAAGGAGTTTGTAAGCCGCTCTGAGACTCCAAGTGAAGGGCGGGGTATAAATCCAATCTCTTCTTCTTCTTCTTCTTCTTCTTAAGACCAACAAAGTTTGAGGGCTCTACTGGTAGCAGGAGCTCCTTTGCATATTAGGCCACACACCCCTAGTGTAGCCAATCTTCCAAGAGCTTACAGTAGCCCCAGTAAGAAGAGCTCTTGTAAGCTCTTGGAGGATTGGCTACACTAGGGGTGTGTCGCCTAATATGCAAAGGAGCTCCTGCTACCAGTAGAGCCCTAAGCGCTTGTGTTATTCATCTCTCTTGATGAATAACAGTTACAGGAAATTATCAGCCTTCTTTCCAAAATACTATAAGCAGAGAATTAAAGGTGGAACTCCCCCCCCCACCTCTGCCCACTGCATCCCTCTCAAAAATGTTGCCCAAGGGGTCAGGGGACCCCACAGACTGCATTGGGAATAATATGGGGATCTGCAGTGGTTGGAGTCTTGGAGAAAATGCCCCCCCCCCAAGTGGGGGAGGAGCCCTTCCCCTGGTGGAAAATGAGCTTTAGATCCAGCCCTACACATGTGCCCTCCCCCTCCCACTCAGCTGGTGGCAGGTTTTAACTAATACCGCACATTCTCTCTTAATGGCAGGGTTCTAGCCGAATGTGTGCAGTAAAAATGTTTATTTATTAAAATATTTATATCCCTTGAGGTTCAAGGCAGTTTACAGTAATACTGAAACATTTTCAATAAAAAATAGCAAAAAAACAAACAAAAACCCTGTGAAAGTTGCCAGCCATTCAAAAATATATGTACATTTCTTAGATGTTATAGTAGACACAAAGTCTACATTGTTTTCCTTCATGGAAGTGATACCTCCCCTGTGAAAACCAGCCTGCAGGTGTAGAAGTAGAGACACTCCATGTTTGCTCCAGGAAATGGAACTACATTTTCTTCAGTTCGAGAGCCAGTTCGGTGTCGTGGTTAAGTGCGCGGACTCTAATCTGGGAGAGAACCGGGTTTGATTCCCCACTCCTCCACTTGCACCTGGCTGGATGACCTTGGCCAAGCCATAGTTCTGATAAGAGCTGTCCTTGAAAAAGAGTAGTTTCTGTCAAGAGCTCTCTTGGCACCACCTCCCTCACAGGGTGTCTGTTGTGGAAAATGAGCTTTAGATCCGGCCCTACACATGTCCCCTCCCCACTCCTCCACTTGCAGCTGCTGGATGACCTTGGGCAAGCCGTAGTTCTGACAAGAGCTGTCCTTGAAAAAGAGCAGTTTCTGTCAAGAGCTCTCTCAGCCCCGCCTACCTCACAGGGTGTCTGTTGTGGGTAGGGGAAGGGAAAGGAGTTTGTAAGCTGCTCTGAGACACCTTTGGGTAGTGAAGGGCAGGGTATATATCCAATCTCTTCTTCTTCTTCTTCAGCGATTTGCACTGTAAAATGTAGGAATAATTCCACAATACTGCCCCCTCCCCCCCCCGGAACAAAGAGGCTGCTTGCTGGTGCAGGCGTCTGAAGTTGGAAGGCCAAAGGTGTACAGGAGCAGGTACTTGGGCCTCGAGTCCACCACTCACACCTCCGGCACATGTTTCTTGCCCATAATGCTGCTGTGAGCTGGGCAGAAGAAAGGCCGTGGTCCTCCGGGTGTCAGACAGTGTTTGCAGTCAGGTGAACCGAGGAAGGCGGTGGTCCCGTGCCTGGCTGCCACTACCTGTTCCCTGGCATCCTTGTTAGCCACACCTGTCTGATTTGCAGAAAGCAGCTGGAACATTCGCGCACAGCACACACAGCGTGCCTTGTACGCTCGGTGGCACTCTGACTGAAGAGAGGGTAGTGTGTTAAAATACATTTTAGAGGCCTCGCTTCTTGGTTTTTGGGTTAGGGTTTCTGGCTTCCCTGAATTTGTTTCTATGGCAGCTGAGAACACGGAGAATGAGTAGAGTAAGGTTTAGCTTGGGGCTGTGTTTTCCAGTGCGGTGGTTTGCATTTTGTATGATGCCGTTGCCATGGAAACAGGTACCCGTTCAATGCGAACAATGGTGGCACATTGCAGGCACTTTAAATTCAGCGGCTTGCCTTCAGAGCGATGTTGGTTTCAAAAAAAACCCTGAAAGAATTTCCTCTTCTGTGCGGGTCTAAAGCTACCTAAGAATAGTGTGATGTGCATTAGCTGGCAAGGGTCTGTTTTATAAATAGCAGCAGCAGCAGCAGCCCTCTGAGTAGTGACGTGTCTTCAAGTGAGTAATCTCACGGAGCAACCGCTACAGCCTGGTGGCCTGAGTATAATTTTTTTTTACTATGCTTAAAGAAAACGTTCCAGGAGAGTGTCTTGGGCTATCTGGATAGTTTCAGGGGTTAGCCGTATTGGGCTGCAGTAGAACAGCTGTTAAATGCAGCTTCGCCATTAGAACAAGACATGCTGCTGCCACGTCAGGGCAGCAGTTCAGTTTCTTAGACAGCTTTCTTGGATCCCAGGCGGATGCAAACACGGTGACTTCCTATCCTCCTCCTCCTCCGTTAGCATAACCAGTTCTCTTTCATCAGC